GAAGTGAGTTGCAGTAGTCAATCCTAGAGGTGACGAGGCTGTGGACGAGGATGGCGGTGGTGTGGGGGGTGAGAGAGGGGCGGAGACGAGAGATATTGCACAGGTGGAAGTAGGCAGACCAAGTAATGTTATTGATGTGAGATTTTTTGAGATATTAACTCATTGCCTGCCAGCCCATTTCAGAACAGGTACCTTCTACCATCAGGTTTGCTCTTTTAAATCTTTTTTAAATAGAACTTTTATCAGTAATGATTTGATTTTAGAGGGCGACAGTGGCTCAGTTGGTAGACCATTGGCCTTTGGGCCTGAAGGTCGTGGGTTCGAGCCCACCGTAAGACCTACTTCACGACTCCCACTGATGACTGCTGTCGCTGTGTCCTTGGGCAAGACACTTAACCCTACTTTGCCCAAAGCCCCAACTGAAAGATCTCAGCTCCTGGACTCACCACCTGCAGGAGGATCAGTGAGGGGCTGGTGCTCTGTGGACTGGGTGCAGCTCTGACTGCCACCCCCCCCGACCCAGAAATGGATTAAGGGGAAGAAAATGGATGGATGGATGGATTTGATTTTAGAACAAAAACTGGATGCTATGCTGATTTTAGCTTTGCTTTTAAAACAAGAGAAGGAAGGAGAGGTGGTGGCACAGCTTCAATATGGAAAAACACCCTGGCCACCAAACCTGTCAATTTTAACCAATACTCAAGTTTTGAGTATCATGCTCTTGTTTTTAGCAGCCCAGAAATGTTATCAGTAACCACCTAGACCAGGGGTCGGGAACCCAAAAGGTTCAAAGAGCCATATTTGACAAAAAAACAAAAACAACATCCGTCTGGAGCCGCAAAAAAACAAAACAGCCTTGTATAAGGCTTGTATGAAGGTAACACAGGCTGAAGCTGTATTAGCTATAGTAGCCTATTATCTTAATCACAAAGTAAAGGCTACAAATACATAATAAGCATTCATGATTATCAAATGTGTGTTTTCACTGCAGCGTGTCCTGGAGAGAATGACCCACCACGTGACAACTCTGCTTTAACTTTAACTTCCATTTTTTTTGTCTTCATGCAGTTGTAGAAATACAGTAAATAAATCTGCTTTTTGGCCCAGAGTTCACCTGCATCACTGTCTGTTCAAATCGATCACGTCATAAGCTGAAATTTCCCGGAGCTGAATTAATGTCCTTAATGGCCGTTTCTTTCAGTCTTTGCAGAGGTTTTTGAAGTCTGCAAATAGGTGCTATGACTTTCCGATGAATTAATCCTTCACGAAATCACCGTGAACTGTGTTTAGCGCTTCATTGTTCCTCCTGTTGCAACAAAACTTCTCATTACAAACATGAATCAGTCCTTCCTCATTGACTGAAAGCAAACGTTCATTATCATTCTTAGTCCAGTCTTATGATCAACTCTTTCTCTTTCTATCTTTGGGATCCATGCGCACTTAGTATGATGCACACACGCCGGTTTGTTTACAGCAGCAGCCGCCCTGTGCGGGGCCGCGTCACAGGATACGATGCACTGTGTGACAGAAATGTTGAAATTGAATATTACTTATGCACATTTTTACAGCATTTAAAAACGTTAAGAATGTTTTTCCTCCTACAGAAACCACATTCAAACTAGAAATAAAATATAGCCCTCACACTCCATTTTCAGACATTTTTGAAAAGGCTCCAGGAGCCATTCGAGGAGCATTAAAGAGCCTCATGCGGCTCCGGAGCCACGGGTTCCCGACCCCTGACCTAGACCACCAAAAAGTGCAGCCTTTTTAATCAATGATTTTTCAGAGTTTTTATATTTCTTATACAATTCCTATGATATGATTGTTTTAACTGGTGATTTTAACATCCACTTCCACAACACATCAGACCATTTTACTTGTGAGTTTTTATGTGTCTTAAACTACATGGATTTTTCTCAACATGTCACACAGCTGACTCACAACAGAAGACACACCCTCGACCTGGTCATTACCTACTGTAAGGCCTGACTGCTGTTGTCGACGAGGCTATCTCTGACCACTATTGTGTGTTTTTTTTAAATCACTGGTTTTATTAAACAGGAGACCTCTGGGAAAATTGTGAAGAAGCAACATTTAACCCCTGAAGTGGCTGCAAATTTTATTGACATTCTAAATAACACTCCCCAGTTAGTTTTACCTGCCCTCTGTGATTTTATAGCAAATGATTAACAGTAGACTAAGAACTACATTGGATCAGGTTGCTCCAATAAAAATAAAAACCATTCAACAAAAATCTATACCCCCATGGAAAAATGAGGAAGCAAGGAGAATGAAAAGAGAGTGCAGGGTGGCAGAGCGAAGGGATGAGGAAAAATAAAACAACAATCAATTATGAAATATATAAAAAACAGAAAACTTACAACAACACAATCAGGAAAAACAGGAGCAATTACTTTGCAAAACTAATCAACCAAAAAAACAATAATCCAAAAATCCTCTTCTCAACCATTGACACAATTTTAAACCCTGATTTTAGCATGTCTCTTTTAACCCCCACAGACACCCTCTGTGAGGATTTTGCAGTCCACTTCATGGGGAAGATAAATACAATCAGATGTAACATTTTATCCAACCGCACTACTGTTTTTAACACACCGGAGTGTTTGTCTTTGCCAGAGGAAACACTGGACAGTTTTGTCCTGGGACTGAGATGCTTGATAAAGTTTTCTCCACAGTGAAGCCCACCACATGTCTTTTAGATCCAGTCCCCACCTCATTTTTTAAGTCATTTTATGAATCTTTTAGAGAGGAGATTAGAAACTTGATGAATTGCTCTCTTCAGACTGGGGTCTTTCCTGCAGCCTTCAAAGCGGCTGTGGTGAGACCCCTTCTGAAGAAGAGCAATTTAGATTTTAATGATTTTAACAAATACAAACCGGTATCCAACTTTTGAGCAAATTTTTTGAACCACAGCACAGAGACTGCTCTTTTAAAGATTTTAAATGAAATTAGATTGAATTATGATTCTACAAAGGTGACCGCGTTGGTTCTACTGGATCTAAGTGCTGCCTTCGATACAGTAGACCACACCATTCTTTTATCCTGCCTGAACCATCTTGGCCTCTCTGGTGCTGTCCACAAATGGTTCACTTCTTATATAACAGACAGATCTTTCATGGTAAGTTTGGATACCTGCTCCTCTCAGGTCCATAAAATCACATGTGGTGTGCCCCAGGCTTCCATTTTAGGTCCAGTTCTTTTTAACCTGTACATGCTCCCTCTTGGCGGTGTCATCAGGAGACATGGAATTAACTTCCACAGTTATGCAGATGACACACAGTTGTACATCTCCATGTCTCCTGATGACACCAGGCCAATGGATGCTCTTTTTAACTGCGTTTTAGACCTGGAATCCTGGATGGCAGAAAACTTTCTCCAGCTTAACCAGGACAAAATGGAGGTTTCAGTCATCGGTTCTGAGGCCCAGAGGGAGAAACGTTTACCAAAACTCCAATCACACTATTTTAATCCATCATCACAAGTGAAAAACATGGGCGTAATCTTTGACTCTGAGCTGACTTTTATTCCTCTATCACAAGAATAGTTTTTTATCGTTTAAAGAACATCGCCAGAGTCCGCTCCATTCTCTCTCGGGGCAACACTGAGACGCTGATGCATGTTTTTATCGCCAGTCGCATTGACCACTGTAATGCCCTGCTCTCTGGGCTTCCCAAAAATAACATTTCATATTTACAATTACTCCAAAACTCGGCAGCACATGTCCTGACTAAGACAAGGGGGCGGGACCACATTACACCGGTTTTAAAATTGCTGCATTGGCTCCCTGTGTGTTTCAGGATCGATTTTAAGGTTTGTTTAATGGTTTTTCAATGTCTTAATGGTCTTGGGCTTTCTTATCTTTCAGAATTGCTTTTATCCTATGAACCTTCCCGGCCCCTGCGGTCCTCCAGCAGCAGAATCCTAACCATTCCCAAAGTCAGGACACACACAAACGGTGAGGCATCTTTCCAGCACTACGGCCCCCGTCCCTGGAACAGTCTGCCGGAGGAGCTCAGGGCCGCAGAGAACATTCATATTTTTAAAAGCAGGCTCAAGACACACCTTTTTAGATTAATTTTTGATTCATATTTATTATTCATTATTGCGTTTTAGTACATTTATTTATGTTTTTAAATACATTTTATTTAGGTTTTTATCTATTTATCTTGTCTACCCATTTACTATTGTTATTATTATGATTAGGTAGCTGCCATCTTTTTTAGAGTCAAATTTTAATGTTTTACTTTCTATTGTATTGTTTTAGTATCCCCAGTGTTTCCTCTGGAGGGAGCCCTCTGCACTGGGAGCTGGGGTCTGCTATAGCTGTGGGGGTTTGGGGCCTCCTTTCTCCTCTGGGTCCTATGAGGGTCTGACTCCTCGACCTGGTGGGGTTCTGGAGCCTCCTCTCTCCTCTGGGTTCTGTGTCGTTCCCTGTGACTGCAGGCGGCTCTCTGCACCTGGTGCAGATGCCTCCTTGGATGGCTCTTCTTCAACTGGATACATCTGCACCCAGCCCTATATCTTTTCATTGTTTTACCTATTTTACCTATCTGATGTGACTTCATGTGTGTGTGTGCGTGCGTGCGTGCGTGCACGCAGGTGGGTGTATATATAATAATAAATGTGGTTTATAGGTAGGTCTGTGGGGCAGTGGGGTTAGGGCTGGGCATATTGGATTGTTCTTAACTAAACTGTAAAGCATATGAAATATGCATAACTACATATTGTTGGGCAGTAACATGTCAGACCACTTGTTTTACTTGTTAAATCACACACCCTATAGTAACCATTCCTGCTATTACCTACTCATATCCTCCTACCTTTCTCAGATTTGTATCTCCAACTTTTGTAAAAAAAAAACATGCAAACATGAATTCAAGCTGTAAAGGAGTCTGTAATCCCAAAGACTCCTTCACATGTTTAACACCATAGTCACATACAATGAACCCATTTGGAAACAGTTCAAGTCTTTTTCTCACCTTTCTGAGAGCTTGTCGGATCCTTCAGCTCCTTTTGCGCTTCTTCAATTTTATCTGCAACAAAAAAGGAAAAGTTCAAACCCTTGCACATGGCTCACGCTCACAACACACACACACGGAGCAGTGACCAGTGCCCGTTTGCGGTGGAAAGCATCTTACTTCCTTTCATCACGGAAAATCTACAGCACTGGAAACTACAGCAGCAGTGATGTGCAAAAGCTGGGGTACGTAATTTTCAAACCACAGACAATAAAGCTCAAACAAAATCGACATCACTAGTTCCTGGCCCTAAAACAGTTCTCTCTTTTTAACTTTTCTGTCTAAAAAAGTTTATCTAAAGATCTAGTTCTAAAGAGAAACGAGTGAAAGAAGTGGACCACCCTCACTCAGCCAATTAGCTCTCAGCCTCAGGCTCTTTCTCACACAACAGATAACCTGTTTTCTAGTGAGAAGCCACAACTGCTGATGCAGGTTTAAAGAAAGAACCATTTTCCAGTTTGTCAAATCAGCACAACAGCAGCGAAACTCAAATGCAGAAGGCTCTGATCAATCATGGGTAAGCATCTTCTGTGTCCCATCCTAGGTCAGCTGAGGACACATAAGTCACTTTGTGCAGAAGTCTTCTTCCACAGGTGCTGACTGAGAGATAATACTGGAGTTTAAAAAATGGTTATGCCTTTCAAATGGTTATGTTGATTCGCTGGTTCAGCGTTGTTTCTCCCCGCTGTCAATCACCTCTTGGAGGTGGGCTTTTGAAGTCACGGATTGATGCACGATGGCCTGTCGCGATATTCAATGAATAAATTAATCGCATGATAATTAAACTTAGCTCGATAATTTGCCTGGCCGCGGTAAATTCCATTTGCATGCTTGTTTGTTTTTCCCGTCTTTCTCTCTCTCGGGTCAGAGAGCACAGTAGTTGTTCTCATTCAGGCTCTAGTAGTGACAAAACTAGCGCAGCTAGCGTTAGCGGGTAAACCGATGCGGAAGTACCGTTTGATAATAAAATTAACTTATGACGCACCTCTGTGAACACATGCTGCTTTTATATAAAGTCTCTGGAAGGTCTCTGGACAAAGAGACGCTGCAGAGCGCTGTTTACATCCACACACGAGCAGACTAAACTGTAGTCCTACAAGATCTGAGCTAGAACCTTCACAAATATGAGACTGCTCATCCTAACGCAGTCATCATTGTTGCTGGTGATTTCAACAAATGTAATTTAAAGACTGTACTCCCAAACTTTCACCAACATGTGACTAGAGCTACAAGAGGAGCACAAATTCTGGATCACTGCGTGAAGGGAGCTTACAGGTCCAGACTTAGGCCTCCATTTGGCAAGTCCGACCACTCCTCTGTTCTCCTTCTTCCTACGTACACACAGAGGAGCAGGGAACATAAATCAACTTCTTGCACTGTGCAATGCTGGTCTGAGGAGGCGAGCATGAAGCTACAGGGGTGTTTTGATGCCACTGACTGGTTTGTTTTTCAATCAGAGGATGTTCACGAATTTTGTGACGTGGTGTCTGGATACATACCCTTCTGAATTGACTGCTGTGTCCCACAGAAGGTCATTAAAGACCATTTTAGTCAAAACCCTTGGATGAACGAGGAAGTTAAACTGAAACTTCATGAGCGTGCTTTGGCGTTTCAATCTAATGATACAGTTGCTTATAAGTTATCCTGTTACTTATTGAAACTTTCTATTAAATCTGCAAAGCGCAGTTATGGGGATAGGTTAGAGGGTTATTTTGAGGAAAATGACCCTCGGCGCATGTGGAACGGTATTAAAACCATCACGTCCTAGAAACCTAGTGCTGGGAAAATTGGATCTGTTGGCCAAGTTCTGCCTAATGAGCTGAACACGTTCTACTGTTGCTTTGAATCTGCTGATGCCTGTCCTGCTGTATTTCCTGATTGTCTCAATCAAGGTGCCTTCACCGTGACTCAGCAGGAGGTCAGGCGTGTCCAGGACCACAGTCTGGAAAGCCCCAGGCCCGGACGGCATCCCTCCTCGTGTCCTGAAATTGTGCTCCGAGCAACTTGCCCCTGTTTTAACAGACATTTTTAACCTGTCGCTTAGGAACTCTACCGTGCCGAACAGCTTTAAAGAATCGACCATTATCCCAGTTCCGAAGAAAACTCCTGTGACATGCCTGAATGACTATCGTCCTGTGGCTCTCACGTCTGTCAGATCCCTGTGAGTGTTGACCCGCTCCAGTTCGCCTACAGACAGAACAGGAGTGCTGAGGATGCCATCTCCTTTGCTCTGAACTCTGTCTACAGTCACTTGGACAATAGTAAATCTGTTGCAAGAATGCTGTTCATTGATTATAGCTCTGCTTTTAACTGCCTTGTCCCAGGTAAACTGATTGAAAAGCTCATGTCTCTCGGTTTAAGTGTTGCCATATGTAAATGGATTTTTAGCTTTTTAAATGACAGATCTCAGAGAGTGAAAATCAATTACTGTTTTTCAGATGCTGCTTCTGTAAGCACTGGATCTCCTCAGGGATGTATTTTGAGTCCTTCACTTTTTACATTGTACACTCACGATTGTGTGTCTTCCTCGGACTCGAACCTGATCATTAAATATGCTGATCAGTAATAATGATGACTCCTCTTATAGAGCAGAGATCCAAAATGTGGTTCATGCTGAACGCATCGAAAACATGTGAACTGGTCTTCGACTTCAGTCGTAACAGTTCTCTCACTCATGTTGCTATTGACAACTCCCAAGTGCAGATTGTAGAGGAGTACACGTTTCTCGGTTTATCTCTGTCTAATGACCTGAAATGGGTTAAAAACACTAACCGAGTCGTTAAGAAAGCTCGTCAGCACCTATACTTCCTGCGGAAACTTAGAGAATTTACCACTAACTCTAAGATTCTACTTAACTTTTATTGCTGCACCATTGAAAGTTTACTTGTTGGTTCTGTGACTGTGTGGTTTGGTAACATCACAGATAAAGAAAAGAGTGTGCTCTCAAGGTGCACACTCTCTGCAAAGAGGACTCTGGGCTGTAGGCTTCCTGTTCTGGAGGTTCTTTATAAATCCAGACTTTTAAACAAAGTTCTTAGGATTGTCAATGAGTCTTCTGGCCACCCTGGGAAAGCCATGTTCCAGCTTCTTCCCTCTGGCAGAAGATATCGTTCTCTGAGATGCAGGACATCTCGACATGCTAACAGCTTCTTCCCACAAGCTGTTGTCAGTCTGAAAAGAGCACTTTAATGTTCTTGCACCTGTATTGAAACTGTTTTAGTCGAACCGTTTTTCTCAGTGACAATTGTTTACTGTTTTATTTGTTTATTTCTGTACTTTTAATGTTGTGTTATGTCTGTATTTGTCTGTGCACACTGGTGACTTTTGCAAATGTATTCCAATGTGTTTATTTTTTTTTTTTTACTGCAAATGGCAAATAAACAAACTGAATCTGAATCTGAGTTACCCATTTATGTACTGAACCTATATCCTCAGATCCTCTGCAGATGTGTCCTATAATGTTCAATCAATGTTAATAGCTACTTCCGGGTGCATTAAAACATTATTTTTGTCATTACATTAACATTAACAACTAATTCTGAAAACCTCCATGCAGGTGTATTAATAATGTTTATGTATAATGTGTTCTGAGATTAATATTTAAATGTGTTGATTGTTACGGAAACGTAGGCGTAGACCAGGGGTGCTCACACTTTTTCAGCATGCGAGCTACTTATAAAAGGATCAAGTCAAAATGATCTACCTACTACAAAAATGCAAATCATATATTTATTTCAAAAAATATTCTTTATACCTACAATATATGTTTATGTACATGCAAAACCGCATGAGCCAATATAGCACAACAAAACACAATTACCTATGTACATTTTTTGTCATTACCCGAGTTTACTCTTATGACTTGCACTGAATTGAATCGGCCAGGGATGCATAGTCCGGAAAATTGGTGGTAACTCGCTGACAAGTTTGTCGTGGTTTAGCTTTCCTGCACTGAGCGCGGTTGTTTGCGCATGTGCAGTCACCTAAGTGTCAGTAAAACATTACTGAGTAAAACACAGATGTCATTTGACTGTGGTGCCATGTCCATGTGCCATGCCTGTTTTTTTTAAATCCAAATATTTCCCCTCCTCAGTTTATAAAATAATTTGCATCCACACATCTGCGTTATCAGTCACATTCGTAACATTCCAAACATGTGCGTCTCTTACGTCCTGTCCTGCGTTGGGGAAAAACACAGAAGTGGGCGGAGCTTTGATGCAGACGCCGGTAACGGCACTTTTACAGTCATAGAAGACACTCAGAGTAAAGACGTATGTTTACAAGCACTGACCCCGTCCTCAGCCCTGGTTTAGTCCTGGTTTAGTCCTGGTTTGGTTGTTTTCAAGCGTGAGTCCCCGCGATCACTTTGCTGCTCTCTGATGTGGAGCGAGGATGTTTGCTGCTGCGAGCATCTCACAGCGAACAGTTTTTAAGGTAGTATGATCCATGCTTCAGTGATCAGAGGAATTTAGGGGGGTACTGTGGCGTGCGAGAACACAAAACTCCGGTTATCTCTGTCTACACACAAATGCATTAACGGAGTTTTCAAAAATCTCCACTTTGCCCGGAGTTTTTTGTATATATTCGTTTAGAATGTGTATTTATTTATTTATTTAATGCGATCTACCAATACTACCTTTGCGATCGACTGGTAGATCGCGATCGACGTATTGAGCACCCCTGGCGTAGACCAATCAGAAAGGAAGGGGGAGGGAGCTTGGGTCGTTTTTTTTTTCAAATCATGTACCCTCAGACAATCACTAAATAATAGCAAATCATCTGCAAATAATCCTATTTTTTGTTATCTGTCATTAATCGTAATGCCTTTCAGGTCCTCAGCCTGGCGTAAAGCCTGGGCCAGAGGCTCGATGTAAAGGGCAAAGAGAGTGGGGCTGATTCCGCAGCCCTGTCTCGAACCCCGTTGCAGTTCAAATCTGTCTGTCAGAGATCCTTTTACTTTGATTCTTGCTTTCGGCCGGTCATAGATTGATCTGATACATTTGATGGAGTCTTGGTTTAGGCAAAATTTCTCTAATGTTTGATACAGGAATT